TGTGGCAATCTGGCCAATCAGAGGACGCCACTTTCCTGACTTCCGGACTGTTTCAAAAAGGCCACAATAACCCAAGCCAGGCCACATTCGTTCCCTGGGATTATTCTGCTTAGAACCAGTGCAGAAAATTCTTTCTTTGCCTCTTGCCAGAATGCAAATCAGCTAAAGCTGTTACTAGCCCTGTTTTCTGTCTGCCCAAAAACTAATGAGAACAAGAGAGAAAATGGGGGTTGGGGCGGGGAGGGAGGTAAAAGCTCAGTCCTTATCTGCTCCCGGGCTCAGCACAAAAGTACCCATTAAACATCTGGATATTCATTTTATTTTTTAATGTTACAAACCATGCTAATCAATCGTAAAATTGCATTCTACTCTCCTACTTTAGCAAATACACCTCCATCCCAACACCTGAGAAGCCAAGTTTGTGTCCGACTTGGAAAAACATGGGAGTACCAGGAGGGTCAGATCCCAGGAGTCTACTTCTCCTCATCCAGCACCACGTGTCCACCAAAAAAAAGACATGTACAAACATGTACAAACATGCATGGCGACTGTAGAATGCATAACCCAGGTCTGTGAGCACCCCAGACCCCCAGGCTTGGCATCATTTGGTCAAGGGTCTCGAAAGCTCAGACGCTCATGGTGTGGTCCAGGACTGGAGGTAGAGCCTCCAGGTGGGCGTCTGGAGGAGTGCAGGGCATCTCGGAGAGGGAGAGGCAGGAAGACTGTATCTGGCCAAAAGGTATGTCTGCATGTTTGCATCCACCTAAAATTTGCATATTGAATCAGCATCCCGCCAGCTGGCTCTGAGGAAGGTGGGGATACTGGGAAATCATCATGCTTAGATGAGGTCAGGAGGGCGGAGTCCTCAAGACTGTGGCCCTATCAAAAGAAAAGGAAGTGAGCTCACGCTCTCCAGCTCGTGGGCTGTGACAAGCAGAGAGCCGTCCCGGACTCCGAACCTGATGTTATTCTGATCTGGGACTCTTAGCCTCTAGGTATACAAGAAATATTTCTCAGCTACCCGCTTTAGAGTCTAGAGACAAAGTATGGGCTTCATTCCAAGATCTAAAATTCCTAGTGATGGTGTCCTGACTCTGGCAAAACTTGGAGACTGAGTAAACCACCCTTGGAGCCAAGCCTTTTTGACAACTAGTTTGATAAGCTTAGAACGTGATCTCCAACTTCCATCCGTATTCTTGGTCAGGTCCGATTTTCACATCTTCACAGCCTGGACGATTGCATTTGATTTTTCAGGTTTAATAATGTATCTAAAACTTCAATTGCCACCCCCTGTGACTGGACCATTCTGTTTCTATTGGTCTTTTTGTCATTTTTTAAAAATCAGGGATGTGTTCTACTCATCGGTTTTCATTGGTTTTGACTGTGTTCCTTCTACTATATCCTGTTAACTCTTTCCTTACAAGATCTCTCCCCTCTTGCTCTTTGTTTTTTGTTTCCCAGGTAACAAGTTTGATCTATTTCCCATTCTTGTGCTGCTCTAGTTTACCTTCATTCTTTAAAGGACAGCCTTACTAAAACAGTATATTTTGCATGGCTTTTTTTCTGCTTAATAACCTTGACTAGATCTCTGTGGCCTGAGGAAAAGCTCAAACTCCTTTCTCCCAGGATGAAGATTCAGCCTCAGCCTTCAGAACTTTCCTCAGCTCCGCTTTAAAATGAACTTTCCATCCATCAGCAATCATCCTGCCATGGTTCCCTGGGCCAAATTCCTCGCATCTGTATCGCTGCCCTTATTCTGTTCTTTCTATTTCCCACTCCCCGGCCAAATAAAAGCTTGTTGATGACTCCCAGTCTGGCTATAAAATGCTTCTCCCACTCTCGCTCATGTTGTCTTTCTCTTTCTGGAATCCTTCTGTCTGGTTTATTTGTTTTGATATTTATTAATTTATTGTCCTGAACTGTTCTGTAAACTTGTTCAGGCTTGAGTTGTCTTTTGCACCAGATATTGTGTGCAAACAGAACTTGTATCTCACAACGTGGCTTTACTCGTTCCATTATTACACCCCATGCTATGCACAAGGGGCACTTAATATACTGCATGTTGCTACTTACATACTCCAACATGCTTTATTGTCTTTTGTTGGTCATAAAGTATCTACTCTTACTGTTACTTAGGATGTTGATTTTAAAAACACTAAGCTTTCATAAAAATCCTGCCATACATTTACCCATGATTCTAAAATCCCCCTGTGATCACCACTGTCATTACTTTTTAAAAAATAATTATTTTCCTTTTGTAACAGGAAATAATATCGTATTCTGATAAAATTCTTTTTCTCACAAGTCCTTCTTACCTTCACACTCATATGAATGTCAGCCTGTGTTCTAGCAGATGTCTTTAAAGTTCAAAGAGTTTACATTGATCCAGAAGAATATGAGTCATGGTATAGCAAAGACACTTGCAAAGATACTACCATAAAAGACACTATGTAGGGCCCGGTGCTGGTGGCTCACGCCTGTAATCCTAGCTACTCAGCAGGCTGAGATCTGAGGATCTCAGTTCAAAGCCAGCCTGGGCAGTCTGTGAGACTCTTACCTCCAATTAACCACCAGAAAACCAGAAGTGGCGCTGTAGCTCAAGTGGTTGAACGCTAGCCTTGAGCTAAAGAGATCAGGGACAGCGCCCAGGCCCAGACTTCAAGCCCCACGACCGCCCCCCCTCCCCCCAACAAAAAGACAGACAGATAATGAAATTTTGCTCATTAATCAGGAAGAATGTATTATGTAACTTGTAGGAACAAGGCTGGACTGTTAAAAAGTATGTTAAGTGAAATAAGTCAGGCTCAGAGAGAAAAAGGATGCGCGTTTCCTCTCATATCTGGATGTTAGATCTAAATTACATATTTGTCTATATACATATAAACATATACAGGGTTATATGTGTTCATACACAAATGTATTAGCTAAAATATGGTATATGAAGTGTAGGATTCCAATGGTGAAACTCCTTTGAGCAATTAACTTCTACTTCAACAAAATGAATGCCAAGAACCTGGAATGCGTGCTGTCGGGGAAGTGCGGTCTCGGGGCTCAGGGGAGGTGAAGGGCGAGAAAATGCGTTGGTGAATGCAGTCATAATAGTCAACATCTGTATGTGAAACTGGAATTAGGAAAATTGAGGGCATGACGGGTGGCAGGAGGGAGAATGATTTGCCATTTGCTCCCACAAACGGACGTGTTGAATGGAAACCCCTTTGTACAGCTATTTAAGGATAACAAAAAGTTAGCTCAAAAAGAATGCATCAGCCGACTCCAATGTGTATAACAAAAGACATGACTGCATCGTTCTTTCATTTTATTGAAAAGGAATCATTTCTACTCTAGCGCAAACAATGTATATTTTACATCATAAAGCAAGATATAATTTACATATTACATTTCTTACGAGATCTTTATTCATTCCATTTTTTCTTTTAATTAGGTCACCTCTTCTGGCTTAATCTGCCAAGTGCCCCACAAATCAGCATGTTTAGGGAGCAACTGGGGACACAGATCGTTCATAGGTATTCATCTGCATCTGGGAATACTGCTGGTGAAGAACAGGGCTGTGTCTGCAGTCTGGGGCACTGGGACCCTCTTCTGCTGCCTGGCTGCAGGGACAGAAGTTGACTCCTCCAAATCACTTATCCAACTTGTTTCTAGATCAATCAGAAGCAGACCAAAGTGAATGCTAGGACGACATGTGTACTTCTTGATCACATGCTCAGATAATAGATGCTCGTGCGTTGACCTACCAGCAGTGAGCATTCTCGTGACTAGCCAGCACCATTGCTCTGAGAAATTTCCAGACATTGCTTGTCCAAGGCACGAGATGAAGGTTTTCCCGACTGTTAGGGTTTATAGGCACAAACTTTTCTGTTGGCCACTGGACATGGGTGTCAGTGTGACGGTTTCACATGACCCTCTACCTTTCCTCTCCTGCTTCTAAGAGTCATCTCTTCTGAGCAAACCCTTTGCACGTGTGATTTGTGCCTGCTCTCCAGAACCCAAAGCCTCTCTTTAAACTCCAACCCCTAAATTTGGATTACACTCACTTCTCAAGTCAAAGAATGTTTTGATCTTCAAGGATATACTGTTCCTTCCAAACCTGATAAGCCACAGTGATCAATGGGACAAAAGAACAACAAATGGGAGATTTCTTAGAAGCAAATAGTGCATGCTGCACAGTGTTTTACATGAACCTCCATAAAAAATGTTTTAGTTAAAATAAGAGTCAGTGGTGAAAGCTAAATGCAAAAGATGGATGCCCTTCTTATTACTGAAAGAAATTCAGAATCGTTAGAAATACATACTCAGACTGGTAGCTGTTACACTGAAAACAAAGTTACTGTCAGCTCCATCTGATCAGAAATACTAATAGTCATTAAAAGTGCATCTTACACCCCAAATTCCTTGCCTGTCACTCAGAGTTCAAAGCTGGTATATTTAGCCAAAATCAACCTAAAGCTTTCTAGCCACTAATAATTGAAATGACTAGAACCAAGCTGGTCAGGATGAGAATAAGTTAAAAATGTGTCTATTCTGTGTGTCCTTAGTTATTCTTTAATCAGATGGCATACTTTATGAGACATCTAAAAATATAAACCTATTTCTCATTTCCAAATACAAGATTGTGAGTTCGTACAACATTGTAGCATTCCCTTGCTAGAAGACAAGCCTTCCAGATACCCTATCATTCCATTGGTTAGCACTGTACACCTTTACAGTCCCTTCTTCCCATGGCTACAAAGTGCTGGCCACACCGAGAACACAGGAAAGCAAAGATGAATACAGCCTCACAACACCCCTGTGAGGTAGGTAAGAATTGCCAAGCCCTTCTTTATGAACAGGTCAACTAAGGCACAGCATGCTCCAATGCACCTGGCAAGTAAGTTAGGAAAGCAGGGCTGGGAACAGAGAGAACAAAACGAAGAAGTCTCAGCTGGCTTTCTCACCCCAGTGGCTAAATTTTATTTCAAAATACTAAATATATATGTGTGTGTGTGTGCGCACGTGCGTGTGTGTATGTGTGTGTGTGTGTCCACAATTGTATTTAAAATGTTGGGAATTAAAGCCAACTGTTAAGTACTCACTTGAACATGTTTAGTATGTTTTGTCTGTTACAGTTCCAGGGAGTGGAGAAAGAGCAGACAACTGGACATCTTTTCCTCCTCTTAAGTGGAATTCCCTGGCCAGGTCGGAATGGATCAGCATTTCATCAGCGTTCTGACACCAACCTCCAGGACATTTTAATAGTCAGAAATAACTTCTAATGACTGAAATCTCTAAGGTGAGGAGTCCTAATTCTCAAACAACACCCTTGCCAACTGCTCTACCACCTTACTGAGAACATTTGTGTAGAAAAAGAAAACAAGCAAGATGCCTAATTAATGTCCCACCGCTGTGGCAGTGGGGACAGGGAAGTGTGAGCTTTGCTTTTTTGCTATGTTTGAGAAACTGCAAACCCCAGCTTGCAATATTATATATATAAAATATATAAATATATACAGTATATATATAAATGTGCGTCTGACTACACTGAAGGCACCAAAGAGATGTAGGCCATGCATCTCACAATTCAGTCTTCATTTTCCTGAAGAATTTTCTGTCCCTCTCAAGTGAAAAAAAAAAGTATTTTCTCCATCAAATAGCCCTTAACAGCAAATCCTTGAAAGACAACCAACGTCTTTTCACGTCAGACTGCTGATTGTTTGCAGGAAGGTGTGAAGTATATCTACAGCTTAGAGCTTAACTCTGTGGTCGAGATGTAGAGTTTACAGCTTAGAATTAGCCAGATTGAGCCAATTAGGTTGATCAGTCAATCCAATAATAGGCCAATGATCAGAACTTGTCCACAATTATTTTTTCTAGTAGCTGATTGGAAAACCTTCTCATAACCCACAGACGTGGAGACCACGAGAAAGACAATCATGTCCGGCATAGATTCTTCAGAAAGACTTTGGCTTTTCCAACATTCTGAGGGGGAACTGGGAAGATGATGGAGTAAGGCACTGAGGTCAAACAGGTTGATGAGAAATTACAGGTTAATCGCTTTGAATATGGCTATATGCATATATAGGATTTCTTTGGCTACTGCACATTGTTTTAAACCTCATACAAATTATGAGAGTGGGTGGGCTAGACCTAACTGATGAAGCTTGGAGTATATGAAGCAAAGCATAAATAGAAAGAAAAAATGAAATAAACACACAGAGAAACAAATGGTGGTAGTGTTCCAGAGAGAAGAGGTACATTTGTTAACTAATTTTCATTTTTGTTCCTCTCCTGCTTTTCTCTGCCATGGTCCCAATATTTTAGTTCTGTCTTTTGTTTGTTTATACTTGTTTTCCTCCAGCGGATGAAGAAATGACAGAGCAGGACAGGTGTCTCATGGTTTGTGCTCTCTTCTTAGGCCTGTTAAATCATTGTGTTTTCCTCAGTTGACTGTTGACACTTGGTTCCTCTGTAAACTATATTCCTTGGCCTTCAGTCTCAGGTTGGCAATGCTGTTGGCCATGTTGATGCCCTGTGCAGGGCTATTGTTGGCACATGTGGCAGAGTAAGTAGCCATGGCGCTGTAGGGACAAAGGAGAGAGCAGGGGGAATAACAGACATTAGTTTCACAAAGCTGCAGGTCTGTGTTCCAGGCGGATGGCCTTGCAGGATGGGGGCAGGCAGGGACAGGCAGGCTGGACCCGGGTCTAGAGGCTCTTACAGCCCCAGCTCTCCATGCGTCTATGGCGTTTGGAAAGAGGGTGGTCCTGTTGTGCAATGCCAGGGAAGGTGGAGGAGAATGAGACAGAGGGAGGGAGAGGCATCTGCTGCGCTGGATACAATGAGTCATGACTTATTTCTGGGGTGAGAGAAAAAGTTGCCTAGTAGGTTTGTCAACAGCTGACTAATTAAAGCAGTCTTTAATCTCATTTTCTGCCTACATCACCCAGCCTGAAGAGGGTGGGGAAGTGAAGAAGGAAAGCAAGCCATTTGACAGAAAATTGAAGAGAATATCGCTTCTGTACTCGAGGTGGCTCTACTTCAGGTGATCAGTTAAACACCATCACAAGCAATGTGTCTGGAGAATCAAATCATCCAACATAACTTATTTGCTTCTCTTGATATACTTACTGATAGTATCAATACTGCAAAATCAAGAGGCTCCGACCCACTTGCTTTGATTTTCCAGAGCCTCTTCTCCAAAGTATGTGAGCAGTCCCTAACTGCCTTCTGGATCCATTATTGTGGGAATGGTGAAGTTTCCTAAATAAACTCCACACGCTTGGCCCTCAGCGGTAACGGTCTCTCACTCCACATTGCTGAGAAAAACATGAAGTTGATTTTCATTGTCAGGAACACTGCTGGGCTAAAATTCATCAACGGTGGATTTTATTATTAATTGCATCCATGGATCTCTTATAAAGGAAAAAAGAAATGGTGTGTTGATGTTGGATGCAAATTCTCCTTTACTTTATCCTAAATAGTTAAAAGGAGTCACATTTTAATGAAATGAAAACATTTCTGGATGTTTCTAAGATTAGCAAAATCCCTTTCAACCGAGGGCTGGAAGGAGATAGACTTATAAATGGAAGGGCATGTGCTTTTCTGCCGCCTGCCTTCCTGTGGAATTCTGTCACCCACACAGGACTTTGTGGTTCTGGGGATCAAGTGACAAGATCAGAAAGAGAGAAAACTGAAGCTGTTCTACAAATAGAGAGACCGTATCACTGACACTTATCAGAGGCACCACATCGTCAAGACTCACAGTCAAAACTCTTAATAGTCTATTTAACCTCCGAGACTAGCAATTAGGGAAAAATCAAGTTAAGAAGGTATCATTTGTTCCAGATCACTTGACCTTTCCAGATACACTCATCTTTAAAAGCCTTAGAGCATTGGTACAAGTGTGTGAGAGAATGTGTGCACTCCCATATGGACGTGAGTTACTACAGAAGGGTGGAGGGTTGAAAGGGTTATAAAAAGAATCTGGGGCACCAGTGGCTCATGCCTATAATCCCCACTGCTCAGGAAGCTGAGATACAAAGACGCCATTTCCTTGCCCGAAAAAATCAGCCTAAAAGCAAGGAGAGAGGCATGGCCCCGGTGGTAGAGAGAGAACTTTACTTTTTTCTTTTCTTTTTATTTGCCAGCTTTACTCTTATGGGTCATTTCTGAGTCAATGAGCTAAACAAGTGGAGGTTCTCCTGAACTTTTGGTTTTGTCATATGATTCAATTTTAATTAATAACTTGTGTATCACTTTAATTAGTAACTTGTATAATATATATCACTGACCTAAAGCATAAGCTTTATCAATCGGATATCACACCTGCCTGCTCACTATGTCTTCAGGTAGAGCTGATGAAATGCCTCGCGTATGTTTGGTGCTCAATAAATTAGCGATCTATAGCTAGAGTATGATTAAAATGGGTTCTACGCAAGCGCATTTATCACTATGCTCTGAGAATGACTTCTGTAACCTATCTGACCAGTATTCTTTCATTGTTAAGAAGTAGTTCTGTAAATTTCACTATCTTAGTAGAAAGAACAAAAAAGGCCATAGCAAAAGAAGAGCTGATGGTTACATAGTTTGGGGTTCATAGTAAGTCATTTCACAATAAAAGAAAAACATATCAGCAGAGGTAAGTTATGAAATAGGCTATCACTTTTTACCACTGTCCACCACAGGACAGAAGTGGTAGGTTTAGATTAGGAGTGAGATGAATGACCAGAATGGCACACTAAGACGAAGTCTTTTTTTTCCCCAGAATGTACCAACAAATATCATTTGATTCAGAAATCCATATGCATATAATCACTTAGATGCTTCCATTCAAGATCCTATAGGGTTCTTAGGACATACCAAGAACCCTAATAGTTAAGAAAAGGTATCTTTAGTGCTTGGGAATCTGACTGGTAATTATAAAAAGCAATCAAATCAGCCTTTCTTATCCACATGCTGGTGAGAGAATTAAGTTGTAAGAATGGTACATAGCGTTGTTTCAAACACAGACGAGCAAACTTGGGGCTGTGAGGTGTATTGTCTGTTAAGGACTGATAATAAAGTTGGGTGATTTCTCTATACACAAAGTGAAAACGGTGAGAACATTAAAAAAATCTCTGGTGGAAAATTGCAGATGGTCATGGAATTTGTGTTGGGTTCTTGGCTGAGGTTCTGAGAATTGTGTTTTCCGTCATTTAAGAATCAGGACCAGCAAAAAGTCCTATTTCACAGAACCCCCACTGCCTTTGGTCATCCGAGATGGGCTCTCTTTCCTTAGCAGACAAAAGGAAATGGAACCGTGGGGATTATTCTGGTTTACTGAAGCTGTTGTAACTGTTTTCCAAAAATGTCTACCATAGGAGTGACCACACTTCTCTCTCCTCTGCACCAGTTACTTCAGGGTTGACTAACTGCACCATCTGTTATTCTAGTCTGGGGACTTACTATGGTAAGAGCTGCCTTAAAAATATTGAGTGGGTCTCCCTACGTAGGTCAGAGAGTAATATCTGAAGTGAGATGAATGCTTATCACCTTTATTACACAAAAATTAACGGACATTTGCATTCCCTATTGCACCAGAGACTGGACATTCACCGAGACAGCTCTCACTTCACTGACAGACTACTCCCACAGCAGAGAACAGTGCTTCTGTCCAGTGACAGGAAGGATGGTGCTATCAGGGAACCACGCTGTAGCCGTGAGTCTATGCACAGCTTTGTAGGAATTCCTCAAGTTGGTGGGGCTTGAGGGTAAGAAAAATCTGTTCTTATTGGTAAATAAATTTTGTTATGTTTTAAGGTATCAATAAATAATAACATTCTCCCTTGATAAATGTTCAGACAAGTTGTAATAACTGAACTTATTTCAGAGTTCCACGGTCAGCAGACATAGAATGAAAGAGCAGAGGCGGAGCGAGGCGCTGCTGGCTCCCGCCTGCAATCCTACCTACTCAGAGTGCCGGGATCTGAGAATCACAGTGCAAGGCCAGCCCGGACAGGACAGCTCCATGACTTGGAGAGAGCATCCAGGACCTGCGCTTAAACCCCAAGACTGACACAAAACAAAAGAATGGAAGCCATCTCAATGTATAGCCTTTCACCAAACATTTAGAATATATAACCGTCTAAGAGGGGCGTCTGATCGTTCGTCCATACACTAAAGAAAGCTATCGCTCACTCGAATGATGTGCTATGCATCTAGTTTTACAGCGTGAGCTAAATATGCCATCTACTCAAGTGATAGGCCGTCCTTTGACGTAACAGGGACACGCAAGTCTTGGTACAGGCCAGAAAAAAAATAGAACGAATGTGCACATAGTCTCAGAGCAGCTTAGGCGCGCTTCACACATGACATTAGAAGAGGGAGAGGACTTTCTTCCTGAGATGACAACAGCTGTGAGGCACCCTGGAATGGCTGCCAACCCAAAAGAGTGCTCACGGTCACCTGTTCTTCTTGTCATGGAAGCTTCTAAAGCTGCTTCAGCACAAGAAAGAGAACCCTAGAATAAATGTCTTCCCCAAAGAGCAGGCCACTGGGGGTAATTAGCTATTTTCAGCTCCATTTATGAGCCCTTCAGACCATGTAAAATGACCGCTTCTTCCCAGCTAGGATTAAACATCCTGGGATAAAAAGCTAAGGCTAACACCAAGTGATTAGTATATGCTAAGGACAAGACAACAACTAAGAATCTGTTTTACAACCAAGTTGCTGGTCTTGTGTTCCCTTGGAAGGAAGAGATCTGAGCTGAGTCAGGAACTGAATGTCTGGAGGTGATTGATGGCACCGTTTCTACTGAACTTTTAGTAAAGCTGCTTTGTGCCTGTGACCAAAAATGACACTGCCAAATAAAATGCATTGAGATATTCGAGATTAAATTTTTTAAAAAAGGCTTGTGTTCCATGTGTTGACTCCTCAAGTCTGTCCTGGGACTTTCACCGAGCTGACACATTCAAGAAAGCTTGGAATTTTTTCCATTTCCTTATTTGGAGATTCCTAGCAGATGCAGGCCAGCTATGGCCAGCAGCATACCAACCCCACCAGCAGACTGGAATAATGTTTGCAACCCATTCTGAAAGGTTACTGTGAGGAAAAATGTGTTAATAACTGCCAACACCAAGAAAATACAAAAAAAAATGCTACTAACCAGACGATTTTGAAGGCAGGAAACAAATGGGCATCTACACATCTGTTTTCTAATCACCCTTAATGTAAATCCTACAAATCACCAAACAGTTGATGATAACTTTTTTTTTGGTGGGGGGAGTAATATTTGACTCTGTTTCAACTTTAACATTGTTTTCGATTTGGCTTGTTTTGATAATGATCAATTGTTTAAAGTTTCACCCAAAGTCAAGTGTGTGGGCTTTAGAAGTCTGTGGGCCTCTCTGAGGATCTAGGGTTCCACCAGCTCTTTAATTTCCCCCACAAAGCTGTAGAGCTTGCAATGTTGAGACACTGGAGACCTTTGAGACCATCTCTTTGGTTTGTTCTTTTCTCAACTCAAAAATAATAGAAGCATACTTGCTTCATCTAAGAAAACTCAATGCCAAATGTTGTAGGAAAACTTATTTCTAAAGAAAGATCCCATCAATGCTTCTGAAAAGGATCTTGTGTGACTTAAAAAAAAAATCATTTCTTGTGGAGGATCCGTGGCTCACGCCTGTAAATCCTGGCTACCGAGAAGGCTGAGATCTGAGGATTGTTGTTCAAAGCCAGCCCAGGAGGGCAGTCACCCTTTTAACCAATTAACCAACAAAATGTTGGACATGGATCTGTGGTTCTAGTGGTAGAATGCTAGCTTTAACTGGAACAAAATGCTCAGGGACATGGCCCAGGCCCTGAGTTCAAGCCCCAGGACAGACACAGACACACACACAGACACACACACACAGACACACACACACACACACACAATCATTTCTTTCTCTTAGTTTAAAAATTCACAAGATGATTTTTAATGTCTATTAGCTCTTCTAAGTGGACACACCGGGACTTGATTTCACAGGTTAGCCCTCCGTTTTCACTGTGCTCAACGATCCCTTCTGCAATGGTTCATCTTCCTAGGAATGTTTGTATATATAAACCCCGTGAATCTTACATCCTTCGGTTACCACCAGCTCTTCTTCTCCTGTCTGCCCTTGCTTGTCTATAGGTTCCAAACACTCTTGTGAGTGAGAGGAAGCTGTGGCTAGCTCAATTTGGACAGAAGGTGACACACAAAGATCAGTGGTCTGAGAAGCCAAAGCAGCCAGGACAAGAACACACTGAGGTGCACACTGGTCACCTAGAGCTTTGCTGTGCATCGCACTGAGGGTGAACAGCGCTGCACCCCCATTGTAGGGGGGCAACTCAGAGACGCAGAACCCCCATCCACCCCGCCTTCCTGCAGCAGAGCTCCGTTCCCGCCTCAGCCATGCGTGAGGGCTGCCGTGGGCTCTCCGGCTCCCGCTCACTGTATGGACACGTCCTCAGGGCCCTGGCTTCCTCGCGCATTCCCTGCGTGAGGACTCACGTCTGAGCGTGTCTACGGCTTCAACAAGAGAACTGATCCCCCCTGGCCCTGCCCCCAGCAGCCACTCCCACCCTCGGACAAATTACCTTTTCGGGGTCCTCCGTTAGAATCCGTTATGAAGTCCCTCGTGTAAACAACATCTTGGGAGGGACGAGGATCTATTTTTGAAAGTGTGAAAGGGAGAAATGAGCCAAATGCGTTCAGCAGATGTCATGCAGCACCATGACCGCGACCAGACGGGGGGAGGAGGAGGAGGAGGAGGAGGAGGACGGGGAGGACGGGCTGGGGGAGGGGAGACGCGGACAGGGACTTTCCACTTGTCACCAGCTTTCTTTGAAGTCTGCCTCCCTCTCAAAATAGCACTCTGAAGCTATAGTGCGCAGCCAGGGCGTCTGCCAGCTGCCCTCTGAAGGGCAGAGATCTCTAGGGATGGGGTCTTGGCTACTTTAGCTCAAGTCCTAGTCAAAAGTCCATGTCTCCATTGATCACTGATACCCAAAAGGCACAGCACTGTAAACTTAGCAATAATTCTCTGGCTCCTGTGCGTTTCTTTATTCTCGCAATTTGCTGTGGGAGGACAGTTCTGGACTAGGAAGCAGGTAGGTGTTCTCAAGGCAAGCTTCCTTCCACTGCCACGCGTAAGCCAAGGAGACGCCTGCCAGGAACTAGAGCCGTGCTGGGAAGTGCTTTGCTCTTGGGAGGGACTCTGCTTCGGGGCTGACACTGTCACCCGTAATAGGCCTCAGGGAAGGAGTGAGGGCCACGGGTTGAGGCGGCCAGCACAATCCTGTCTTATACCTGTGGTCTACTATTAATTAGTAGGCCCACTCCCCCTTTTAACTCAAAGTGCTTTGGCTTGACAAGTCATATCGCCACCACTCTGAATTCATAAAAGATGCCCATAAAAAAAAAAGGTTGGTTATTTTCCCCATACTTCAGACATTTTGCAAACGTGTCCTGGTTTACTGTCCTTCCAAGAAAGCACCTGGGAATCAGTAAACTGTTCTGCCTGACAGAGCTGTGTCTTCACTGACCCTGGGATGCTGTTTCGGACCTGACACAGACCCTCCGTCGGAAAGGGTTGCTGAGAGAGTTGTAAAATCATATACTTCTCATTACTGCCAATATAGTGCAAGGTTTAATGGGAATAAAATACGGGTATATGTCCTCATGTGTTGGACAGGAACAGGACTCACAAAGCATGCATACTAATTCTGCTCACTGAAGACTTAAACTTGAACAAGTGTTCAGTCTCCTCTCGTTTGGAGCCTGAGCAAGGAAACAGCTACCACACAAGAGTGTCCGAAGATAGGAAGTGGCGCTGTGGCTCAAGCAGTAGAGCGCTCACCTTGAGCTGAAGAGCGCAGGGACAGTGTTCAGGCCCAGAGTTCAAGCCCCATGACCAACAAAAACAAAAAAAAAGAGTGTCCGAGGATTAACCAAGAGAAATGTCTTTTAATGAACGTAACATGTGATGTAACTAACTTGACATCATAGTACCAACAGAGATAGTACATTTTCCATCTCACTGAAGGTCCATTATTTCTTTTGTTTCCCATTACTTGTTTTTCTTTTATATGTTATTAACAATAGTTATATTCCCTAGCAAGTTTCAAAGTGTAAAATTGTAATGAATATTTCTAAACATAGTAGAAAAAATCTCCAAGGAACAGAACCATTTTTGCCATTTTTAAAAATGAACCAAAATATAAACACTTCAGCCAACATTGAGTCGGGGAAGAAAAACATATTACTGATAAATAACTGTTTTAAACCATTGCTTTTCTACTCATATTGGAGATTAATTTATTTCTCATACAAAATATGAACCATCAGTTTCTATGGTATTGTTTTAATTAATTTTTACAAACTCTGGATCTAAGAGAGAAATGATATAAATGCATACTGTGGAGTGAGTAAAAAGGTTATATGATTTTAAGAAAAGAGTAGAATACAAAAAATATGTACACGAAGGCTACATCTACATAAAATATTGAGCACTAGCCACAAATACGAACAAACTAATCATATGAAGATGGTCGGTTTAAGGGTGCTTTTGAAAATGTTTCTAGAATTTTACATAAAAAGTTCAGTTAGCGTAGGATATCTCCAAAAAAGGCACACAGAAATTGTCATGTGGATAGCTTCAGTTCGATGCCCATGTACGGAAATCCTATGATGCTGGACTTCTGCTTTGGTCCAGGCCGTCTACCACAGAGCTAGTTCAGGGAAGGGTTCATCTCCATCTGTGTACTGGCCGCTCTTAGCACAGCCTGAAGAAGGACCACACGGCAGCCCTCTGGACTGTGGATAGTTCCCAAGGAGAACACAGGGCTGATACCTCCTGGTTACTCCCAAATTCAAACTAGCTGTCTTAAAACACCCTTTTGATCTCTGCCCATTTCCCAAGGTGTTGAGTGGGTCTGTCGGATACCAATGCTTGTAGGAGAGACAACGTGGCCTCCCACTTATTTAAAATACTACAGAATATATGGTTTCATGCCGTCTTTTAAATGTGCTGCTGGTAAACCTTCTAGAAGGATCTAAATTGTAAGACACACAGAGATAACTGACCTCTCAAAATCAGCAGAACCAGGGAGAACACAGATCCAGAATAGGACTTTGCTGTACAAAGACCAGACTTAGGTCATGCTTTCATTTGACGTTTCTCTGAAAGACTGACTTGGGATTCAAAACCAAAAGAACCATTCGGGTGGGGCTCTTGGCTTTGACCAGAGCATTTACGCTTCACAAGTGTGTCATTTCACATTAGGGAGGGGCCTCCAGCTAAATCGTATCTCCTGTAACTACTTTGTGGCCTCTCTTTTAGCCAGCCATCAACCTTAATAACTAATAGGTAAATAAAACCATAATTCATGAAGTTGTGAATACTTCTTCTCCCCCGGGGGGAACTGGTAGTCTGAACCTGGTTTTCTCGGGGTTAAGGAGATCCGTGTTGACTGATTGTGTGTTAACCACAGGCATCTCAGCTGTGTGGCTGGAATAGATCTATGGTTTCTGATCACATAATAAATGGAGGTTAAAAGCCTCACAACAAGACTAAAATATTCCTCTGATTTGCTTCTTCAGAAGTTTTACCTTTTTCATATAAAAGTTAGGTATAAATTGTACATTCTTCTTATTTGAAGACACACATAAGTTCACACACACATTTTCCCCATACACACACTCAAACGCTGCTGTCCAAAGAAATCTTTAAGCCAAGTAGACAAGTATTAGCTATAGATATGAAGGCATTTGGGGCCCTAAGATATCTCCAGTTAATATTAAAAAAAAATGAAGGTCACAAAAGTGATCAGAGTGACCTTGAGTTTTCTTTCCTTCTCTCTGCCATTTTTTCTCTTTCCTTCTCTCACTCTCCTTCCTTTCTTTCCCCTCTCTTTTTTTTCCCTTTTAATTCAAAATCAGTTTTACTGTGAAGTTCACCTAAGTGCCTGTTTGAATCATTACACAATAAGAGCATAATAACTCAAACCTATCTTAAATTTGGGAGTGGGGTAGCTTTCTTCCAGAATGGTTGTAAGAGGGCCACGGGGCACAGCTTAGCAATGATCTTTTCCTTTAGGCTCTTTCCCATCTTTTCAAGAGTTCCTGAGTCCAAGAGGAGATTGCTGATGGCCTGCCCCCCTCTCTCTTCTGCCCCCAAACCCTGCTCCTGGGGCAACGAGCAATCTCCTGTGAAAATCTGGGGGTGTCAGCAAGTTGAGTGTCTCTGAGGAGGTTAACCCAAGAAGAAGCATCAGCCCGATGCAAAACCAGCTTTGAGCATGGCTGATGGCTGGGCATTATGTGGGATGGAGCGAGGGGGTGGAGCGGCATTCACCTGTACGGAGAGGCTGTCCCCCACGAGAGGTAATCCGTGGGCCGGGGAGCGGGGCGGGGCACGATGGGCTGCTCCACGGCCGTCACGTCTCCTGAGTAGGACTTGAGGAGAGAAGCATTCTTATTGGCCAGCATGGCTCGCTCATTCCTGCGGAACTTGGCTCTTCGGTTCTGAAACCACACCTGGAAGATGGTTGGGACAAGAGAAGGACATATTCAGAATGTGGGGAGATGGGAGACAGACAGACAGACAGACAGACAAAGTGGCCACCGGAAGGGAATTCTGGTTGTTTTTACTATACAATACTTTCTAAGAAAGACATTGAAAAGGGCTGACATTCTTCCTAGAACAATAAAACCAGGAGAGGGCCCCTCCAGGGTGGGGGGCTACACAGCTCTCAGGGCTGATGGTATAGGGCTGGAGAGTCCCTCAGTGGTAGAGCATGTGCTTAACACGTATGAAGCCCTCGGCTTAGTCCCTAACACACAAATAAACAGACAAAAAGCAATGATGAGGCACTTCCAGCGATCAGAGATGAGGTCTGTGACTAGCCAATGGGCAACAACGAAAGTCACAGCCCCTGTGGTGACTGCAATCCAGAAAAAGAGGAGGCGTCTGGGATGCCATGGTCATCCTAAAAAGCCTCTGGAAAATTCCTCAAAATGTGAAATTGTCTGCTTTCTTTATACATGCTGACGTTTAAAGAAGTTTCTGTATCTCCAGAACCAGAGAGTCAGACAAGGACATGGGGCTGGGGCCAGCTTTGCTTGGGTAGTGCGAGGACCACCATCGGTGGAAAAGAAGGCGCAGCCAGTGCTCCCCACAACCAGACTGCAGTCCTCCCGGGACTCTGGAACCGGAGGAGGAGCGTGCCCTGAGCTGTGTCTTGCGGAGAGCGGGCTGCCTGCTGCTCACCGCTGGGCGCGAAGGCGCACAATGATCACATGGAGAGTCTCTTGACGTTCTAGAAAGAAATCTTTTTGCAGAAAAATCCAGACGCAAAAGGCAAGACGTTGACTGGATCACATTTATTTGTAGCGTATGGAGGAATGTGTGTGGTACGGATAGTAGTTGCCATAAAAGTACACATGGCACTTTTTTAAGTGCCAGTGCTAAGAGCCTTTGAGTGCACTACCTAAAGAATTTCTAGTCACCATGGTGTTTCCACAAGTTACGTTTTATCATTCTTAATGTAGAGCTGAAGGAACTGTTTCACTGATGTGAAGCAGTTGGCGCAAGTGACCTACGGCTGATTTTTAACACAACGATGTCCAACTCCTGACCCTATAACTCTTTCAGATGACAATGCAATTTTACCCATCTGTTTGTGTACTCAGGAAGTCTAGGAATACTGCGGCTCAACCCCCGTCCTACATGCTGAGAAGAAAAAGATGAGAAAGACTCCGTCCACTGCTTTCCTGAGGTCCACACTCCAATTAAGGAAGGTACGAACATTGGAAACACGGAGAGGCAAATATTTTAGGTGCAGGTGTAGATGCCTGCAACGAGGTATGCAAGAGGGAAATCCTGCTGTCTGGTGAAATGGCTGCAGGACGCCGGGGCAGTGTCCACCGAAGCGACCATGTGCTCACTGCCTGCTCGGCCACGTCCGACTGCACACTGGACATCCCCCCGCCCACGTCCCAGACCTCCACTGCTTCTTTCTGTCGTGCCTGTTACGTTCGTACTAAAGTTATCATTTTAAACGTGAATGTAATCATACCAGTGCCCTGCTGGGTATCATCTACTGGCTTCCCATTAAAGAATGAAATCAAAACTTCTCACCATGAAACAGTGACGTTCAGAAATCGGCTCCGTGCCCAATCACAAAGTCACGTCACTCTCACCTACCCTGGCCATCGATCTTCCTAACTCCTGTCCGGAGCCTGAGGACCTCAGGACTCCTGGATGGAGCAGGCCACGCTTTACCTACGTATAGTCTCACACACACCGAAGCCCCCTCTGCCGGCCAGACTCTCCCCTTCCGTCCAGTGGTCAACATCTTCTAATGTTAAGAGATTTGAATTGCACACCACCCGGCTGGGAAGCACTGGAGTGGGAAGAACACGATTGTAAAGTCTAAAGGCCTTGGAGAAAATACTTGCCATACTACAATGAACACTGATTCTTGGAAGGTTCTCTCTCTTTCCCTTTGGATCCCAATCAATTGGAGGTAATGACATTTACAGGGCAGTTGTGAGATCATTGAGACTGGATGGTTAATAGATATGTACTCCCCTCCTCCCCCCCCCCCCACCCACGGATCATTATTTCCTCTGGAGATTCCTTTACCGTAGGCTTATGATATAATCTGATGGTTTGTACATCTGTCTCCTCTACCCCAGACCATAACACCCTTAAGGAGAAGCCTAGTGTCTTATTCATCCCAGAAAATAAAACACAGCTCCAAATGTACAAGAGGTACTCATTAGGTGTTTGAGGGAAATGAGGACAAAAAAAGAGAAAAGAAAAGAAAAGGGGTGAAATTACTCTTGCAAAAAGGAATAAAATCGGGCCCCTCTATAAAGGGACTTCGCCCTCTAGTGGGTGGTGCTGATCCATAAGCAAGTCCATACAGTCTATGTCCTAGTATAATAACTGCTCCGAGTATTAATAAAAGCAGAACTAGATGGATTACTTCACTCTGGGAAAGGGTAGGATTTCACAACAGGAGAATGAACTCAGGGAGGAAAATTCTCCCTACTCAGGAGCTAAGAATCCACTGCACTGAAAGTCCCCTCTCCACAGACAGACAGACAGACAGACAGATAGCTGATAGACACACAGATGATAGAGTTTGTCTGAGGTGATAGGGACAAGGTAGTCCCCCAACGCAAAATTAACCCTTGCACATTTTTGTTTAATTTCTCTCATTTTGTCTCATTTCTGTCTCCTGAGGAGTAATTTTCAGCGAGGCTTCTCTTTGCCTCAGGGAGAAAATAGGTCACACTTACTTTTCAGATACCTCCAGGACCTCCCCCCTCACCCAACAAGTCTGTGTTCTCAACAAGTTGCTCCTACATGGACGCTGTCTCCTTACCGGTCAAGATGTTTGCTGCCTGACTCAAGCCCCCTTAGTCTGGAAAGCTATACTTTACAGCAAGAAATTCCCCTCACTCATGGTGGACATAAATATGCAAATAATAATTTCTGTAGGAAGTCATGACAGATTTGTCACACGTGTTTTGTAAAAACAGCAAAGCACTACATTTAAGTGGTTAATAGACCACTATTTATTCAAAGTGTATGTTGTGTGTGTGTGGATGTGTGTGTGCATGCACAGGTGCACACACGCACATGCTGGTGATCACATCCAGGGCCTTCAAGATGCTAGGCGAATGCCTTACCATTGAGCCTCATCCCCGCCTTCAAAGGCCTGAACTCTGGATTGACAGTCCATCGTGCATATTCTGTATTGACTAATTCCTAGCCATCTGATGTCATGTTCAGTGCTTTAACCTCTCTCACCTCCATTTTTCTCAGCTGTCAGATAGAGGATAACATCCATATGATCCACATTAGATCAATCCTATCAAGAGCATTTCTTTGCATGTAAGGGCTTTGTCAGTGTTAAGTATCAGATGAGTATTACAACAATGACTGGCTATATTGTTCCTTACGTGTCTAGTTTGCAGCTGATACATTGTAATGTGAGTTTTAGAAGGATGTTCTCTTTTCCCTTTCCCTTTGCTTGCACCTTCTTTCGCTTCCTCACTCAGAGGTGGAGAATATATAAAAATCATCTGCTTGAAGGTGTTCGTAGCTCAGGTCCACAGTCCCTGTTTTCAATTTCGACCAGGGTTCATAAATGACAAGTGTTTGGAAGATTGCATCTCCAAAGGTGAGGGGGAAGGCTAAGAGGAGGGAATGCTAAAGCTCAAAATGGCCCCCAAAGCTTAAAATGAAGGCTGGGGGGCACACAGTAAAATATTACTGTGTGTATAACCTGAATCCGAAGGGGTCAAAGCAACGGGATGGGGGGGAGGGGGAGGGGAGGCAAAGGGAGTTGTAGTGGGAAACGTTCTGACCTTTCAAAAGTATTAAGTCTGAGTTTTCACATTCTATGCAGCCCAAAGAAACACATCTAGACCCTGGAGTCTGTCCACATGGGGTCCACACGTAACCCTCACTAGCACTGGAGTGCCCGGAATCTATGACTTGGTTTTGTTTGCTAAATAGATGCATATTTCATAAGTACGGTGACTCAAATATTACATTAAGGGATTGTAACTCATCAACGATAACAGAACTGCAATAGGAGATGGAACGGTTCCTTTAAACTAGAAAGTTCTACAATGCCACCTGCCAAAGAGCCTTGTGTTATAAACAGGATTTTGAATCAGTGAGTCGATGCTTTGAGCACTTCTGGCCTGCGTAACTAGTTGGCTTCAGAGTGATTATTTTGACACAGCTGACTTTGAACAACACTTGGAGATGGCCTCCAGACTGCCTGGCGCAGCCCGCAGCAGCCTCGGTTACCTGCACTCTGGCCTCAGTCAGGTTGACCCGGCGGGCGAGGTCTTCCCGCACAAACGCATCCGGGTAGTGTGTCCGCTCGAAGACGCGCTCCAGAGCCTGCAGCTGGCTGCTGTTGAAGGTGGTCCTGTTTCTCCGCTGCTTTCTCTTCTTCTTTTCCTCTGAGTTCAGCTGATCATCTACAATATAAATGTGATGGTCAGGAGCCCCATTCACTTCAGAGATCCCAGTGAACACTTAACAGAGGAAAGAGAAGAAGACATCTCTCGTGAGGGTGGCTTCATTGCTCGCGTCCTTATCAAAGTGCTGCAGCCTAATGCAGCTTCGTGCTGGCACGCTGCGCGTAAGTTACGCGCAAGGACCCCCAGCCGAGCTTCTGCCTGGCTGTTGTTTCTGAATGTGAGCCCAGAGCTGGAGAGAGGCACGTGGTGCCTGCTCCTTGACGCCTGTTTTGTCCATGAGGGCTGGAAGGAAAAAAAAAAATACCCCACCTACTTTCTCTCCAGAGATGGAGAAAGAAGAACCGGTCATTTCTTACCATTCTTGTGCTAGACGATAGGAGGTTCGTGCAGCGTTTCCTAACCCCCCATGTCAGCTTCCTCCTGGTCATCCTCCACACGGGAGTGCAAGCGCACAGCTGTGAGAGGAGATGGCCCCGCCGAGGACACGGGACGGATCTCCAACTCACGGCCATGCTCTCGGCGGCCGAGACCGATTCCTGCCAGCATTCTGCCAGGCTGCTTTGCTAAGCTGGGTTCTCAGGGGCTTCTCCCCAGATCAGAGCTGAGGGCCCCACAGGAACAGCCCACACTAACATCACTCCGGGACTCACCCCAAAAGAACCAAAGAATGAGGAACCAGATCCTGAGATTCCTGAAGGGACCCAACTCAAGGTTGAGCTCTCCAGTCCTGAAAACAGGTTTGCGGAATCACAAGCCCGAGTGTTTACCCGCCAGCTCCCTCCTGGGTTTGTTCCTGGTGCTTCCAGAAGCAATGTAACAAACAAGCTGAGCGTTCAGCCACTACAGCAGCCAGGAAACAGTGGGCTCAGGTCTTGAGTCCCCACCCAGCTGCAGACAAGAGCGATGGGGGGTGAAGCTGACTGCAACACCAGCTGTGCAGACACCACCATCAAACCATCACCCAGAAGCCCAAGCTTTGCAAGCGTCTGTGGCTCATAGAGACGAGCAGCATTGAGTGCCCACGCCCAAGGCTGATGGGCTAAATCGACATTCTCAACCGCTTCTCCCCACAGAGGCTCAAAGAAAGTTACAAGGAGTTGGAGTGAGGATGGGAAGAAAGGAGAACTTGGAGACACTGGGAATGTGGCTGTTTGCCTTGCATGCATGAAGCCCTGGGTTCGAGTCCTCAGCACCACATACACAGAAAACGCCAAAAGTGGCACTGTGGCTCAAGTGGTAGAGTGCTAGCCTTGACCAAAAGCAACTCAGGGACAGTGCCCAGGTCTGAGTTCAAGCTCCAGGACTGGCAAAAAAGAAAAGAAAAAGGAAAGGAGATCTTGGACACTTGCTCCATATTAAATAGAATAGTAGCTCTCATTGCTTCATTTCTCCCACGCACAGTCTCATGATCTTCTGTGATTATAAATACACAACACATTCAACAACCACTGGCTTGAATCGTGACGTCCTAATTGAGCTACCATGTTGCTCTTATTCCAAGTAAGAACACATCCTAATTTGCATGTGGATTCAAAACACACCTTAGATTCGGGATCCTACACCAGATCTTTTGGTACCTGATGCCTGAGGCCTATCTTTTGGCTCAGACATCTCCAGGGCTGCCTCTCTGCACATGCCTAGGGTCTTAGAATAGAGACTGCATATTTCCGGTTAGTCATAGAAAGCATCAGACACAGTAAGCATTTGCTGGATGTGTTTCATCAGGGCGCATGAAATGTTGCTGGTCCTTAGAAAGTGTTTTATACGATCTCACCAGGTTCCACCAGCCAAGGAGCTGCAGCCAGCCATTGCGTCTGCTAGATGAATCCTATCTCTGTGCGTTCACCTAGAATGCCAAATCAGCCATATCTCGAGAAGGGAGACAATTCGATCCTGATTCCTGGGCTCTGTCTCCACTGGTGTCACTAAGTATGGCACTATTTAGCTATTACTTAAAATTTGCTTCCAGTAATATCCGCACCAGACTGAAAGCACGTAGAAGCCAATGGCTTTCGGCAGTTGCCTTTGCGCATGTGTTCCCCTACCTGTTCAAATGTCTGGAAGAATTTGTCTTGTTCTCCCCTCCCCCTTTTTCCCCCCAAATCCCCTGTGTACAGTTCTACATACCTTGCTCTTCAGGCCTCTCTGATCTTTCAAGACTTTGAGACACTACCATAACTGAATTTCAGGCTTCCAATAAATAAAATCTGCAAGACACCCTCAGCTGCCAAACCTTTATGAAACAGAGACCAGTCAGGCGCGAGGCTCTTCTCTTTCAATTTAAAGGGTTGCTCTTAGGAAGCCAACACACCATGATTTGTTGCTTTCCTCCGAGAAAACTCTCAGGTTTAAGAATAAATTCTAAGTCATACGCTGCTTTCTAAACCTCTTTCGCCTTGCACTGCCAAACTGTGATCAAGACCAAGAATACTTTATGGTTTATTCTAGTACTACAGCCTGCTACATCATCTCTCGGTAGTTCTTTGAAATCTTTCCACTGTTCATTCAAATCCCACTGGCTGTCCACCATAAACCACCAACTCCCCTGACGTGGGAGTAAGGGAAATGGAGAATTACAGTTTATGACAGGGAATAAATAGCTCTGATGACCTGAACCGATTCCAGCGAAAGTTTCCCAGTGAATGTTCTTGTTGTTTTTAACAAATGAAAACATCAGTCCAGATCATGTTGAAGGTGAGAAGAGACATTCAAATAACAGGGCTCCCAGGGGTCTTGATCTGGCAAACGTCCTTCAAAGTGCAAACATAACACGAAGAGACAATGAGCGGGCATCGGAGGCGGCCGGAGCGGCAGCCTGCGGCATCTCTGCCTTTGCTCACTAATCACAGACTCTCAGCTCCCAGATCTCCTGAGCTCAGAGGAACAGGCCCAGCACGGTATCTTTTGCTGCTTGAGAAGAAACATAAACACTGAAGAAGTTTACAAATTCAGGGCATCTGAAGTACCTGGAATAAACAGATTTATCAGAGTCCTGGCTCCGCCCGCACAGAGAGCTTTGGCAGCGTGCTTTTACCATTGCTGGAAGCCCCTCCTTCTTGTGACGGCTGATTTCGAAACTGATGCAAAATTAGGGTACTCGATGTCTATTGTTCTTCAGCACTCTGAAGTGACTAGGTCTCACCACACTGCGTAACAACCATGAATTAGGAATGTATTTTTTAATTGAGATCATAATATTTCTAATTCAATGTACCTTTATAGTTTTATCGAACTGAACAAACTTTGGGTCTGCGGTTTTGCCACTCTTTCAATCCAAACAGACAAAATAGTACCGTGTCACTTAGAATCGTGATCTATGAAATACTGGCACCAAATACCCCCCCCCCAAATGTGTAAAATCCAACCCTATTATTTAACGGATGAAGTTAAGATCTAGAGGAATAAAGTGGCTTCTTTAAAATCATGATAAAAGTTTGAAATCTGAAGCCATGACACCTAATTCCATTGTGGTGTGTAAGAGAGAAAAAAATACATCAGGAATGTAAATAGAAACTACTACCTAGGGACAGTGTTTATGGGAAAGAGACATTTTCACAAGAGCTATAATCAAGAGGGACTAAGAAAGGGGATCAATGTGTACTATATGTCAGCCCCCAAGAATCACCATTAAAAAAATGCAACCAATGGGGGAAAACTGAGGGACAATAAAAGATGGGCTGACATTGTCCAAAAAAGGAAATTTACTCATCACCTGCTTTATAAAATAGTAATCCTGCTATTTAACACCCTAATAGGAATAATAATAATAATGGTAATTTTTAATGCAACCATGGGCTGAGGCTGTGGTTCAAACAATACAACACCTGCCTAGCAAGTAAAAGGTCCCGAGTTCAAACCCCAGTAGTGCCAAAAGAAAGAGAGAAGAGAGGGAGGGGGGATGGAGAGAATGCAATTATTCTCATTTGGAAGGCCCTATTGGTCCAGATGATCTCACATCTTCTTTTTCAGTAGTCTTCCCAAGTATACTCAGCTCCACCTTAGCACACCCTCTCCTCACAGTCATAATGGCACTGGTCTTCCTTTTTAATACACTGTTCAGTATCTCTTCCTCTCGACACACCTCAGATCTTATCTCCGCCAACAGCGCCAGTCCATATTGATCTCACTCTAAAATCATATGTATGTGTGCGTGTGTGCATACATCTATGTATTATCAAACACTTTTAAAAATTACGATTCAACTTTTATATATACTGTTTGCCATCTTATGCACTCAAGAATTACTAAGAAAATAGATGGGACCCCTTGTTAAATTAAGTGACCAGAAAAGTTGGGAGATTTTAGAGCAGTGTTGTAATGTAGAAGCAGTCCCAAGAATTTTGGAAACTTGGTGATGCACCGGAGATCCTAGAGGATGGATAATTTCTGAATTTGAATTATTTTTACTAGTGCAAAGCAAATAAGTAGGTTAGTGTTACCTTCATCTCTAGATAATTTGAGCAGCAAAGGGAAAAAAATCTTTCACAGTATTGTTTTCCAGATAGGTTGGCCATCAGATTTAGAGACAAGACAAGTTTTGTAGTCTTTGTACATGTAGGAATGGGTCCTTCACTTTTATCCTTTCCATAAATATAGCCCGATGATAAATGAATTATTTAAGCAGTCGGAACACATACTAGAAAGAAATGCTCGAGTGAATGGCACCTGCAATGGAAGTTAGCATATACATAAAATGTTTCCCAAGGATAAAGGCCACACGTCCCTGTGTCTACCCCACTATGACTTACAGGGCACAATAGCACTCCTGTTGGGGCTAGCCTTGGACTCACCCTGTGAGTGCGGAGGCTGTGCTAGACCAAGTCATGAAGTCATGACACCTTCGAGCTGAGGGCCGCCACTGTGGGCTGACCCTGACTGGGATTTGGGCCTTGGAGCTCCCAAGTCAATGGCGGCCCAATGTAATTTAAAGTTACAATAAAAACATATTTTAGGAATAGAATCAGAATACAAATGGGTTTCATTTGCTTGAATCACATCAATTTAAGAAGAAATCTGATGCAAGAAGATAAAATGCCAGCTTCAGTAGCAGAAACCAACCACCACATCAAAGCTAGTCATCTGCCTTTTGGTTAAAAATATGGCAGGCAAGTGGATCTCAAGGACAGCCCGCTGATCATTTTATGGGTACTGAAGAATGTTTTCAAAGGAACCTATATTGCACAACAGCCACTTACTTTAATGGGATTTGTGTGGGTCAGGCCCTGTAACCTTTGGAAAATTGAAAGGAAGTATAATTGCAAAAGCCACTAGAAACTGTTGAGCTTTTATTGTACGGCCCATGAAAAGCAGGGAATACAGCTGTGGTGTTCAGCTGCGTCTCTTTGGTTACACTTAGCTTTCACTGAAATGAGGAGAATCTGCCCTGATCATGGGCACACACATGGGTCACTGCACTGGGAACCCTACGGCCATATCCATGGCGCTTAGCACATCACAACGACAGCCAACGCGTTCTCCACGCCGGATCCTCCCTGTCCTCCACCATCGAGTCTCAGCAACTGTCCAGAGGGCCCGGGGCCTGTCAG